GGAGGGAGATCCTGTACGTAGTGAGCAGTCCTTTTTTTTTTTTTTTTTTTTTTTTTTTTTTTTATAACAAAACAGGGCCTTATGGTCTCGTTCTATTCTGGGGAGCGTCAGTCCGGTTCCTATTCCACGGGCAAGTCAAAATATACATTACATCAAGAACACTCACGCATGCTTCCTTCCGTCAGGCCGAAGGATCCCTGAACAACATTGATTGTTCCACCGCGGTGGAGGATTGACTGTCAGCTTGCCCTATCCGTCTCTTTCCTCTCAGACCTGGAGTCCAGGTCTGTCAGATAGCGCCATTGTCCCTAGAAAGAGCTCATCCGTTATCCTTGTCGACCTGTTTCCTCCCCACACACCTCCCTGCCCCTTTGGAAGATCTACGATAAAACCCTAAACCCTAAACCCCTCGCCTGTGCGCCCAACCTCCAATAGTCGATCTTGGACATTGGCAGGCATTGATTTGCTTCCGGCCCCCTGCGATAAAGCCTTCCTTTGTAACCCGCGTTCATGCTCCCGTATTTTCACCTACACTAACTTGTCCTTCTCTCTCCCATGTTTCCTCTTTGTTCGTACCCCCTGGGCCCCTGAGGGTTTACAGCTTCGTTTTTCACTCCGGTAGTTTCTGCTACTGTAGTTTCCACTGCTGCAGTATTTTCTGCTACTAGAGTTTCCACCGCCGCGGTTTCCACTGCTGGGGTTTCCATTGTTGCAGTTTCCATGGCCACAGTTTCAACAGCTCCGATTTTTGATCCACCAGTTTCCATTGCTGCAGTTCCTACTACTTCCTTCGCCGAAGTCTTCAGTACAACAGTTTCTATACCTGGAATTCCCCGTACTATACTTTTTGTTGCTGCAGCTTCCTCTGCTGCAACTCCAGCACAAAGAATATCACAGTCTGTTTGACACACGTCCTTTGTTGGAAAATCTTGTCGTATTCAACCCCCTTTCATCTCTTTTTGTGCTTGGCAACAGATGACTGCGTTCTCCTCGCCACCCCCATCTCCACCACGTTCTCGCTTACCAACATACTTTCTGGTTTCTATTGTTCCTATTGTTCCACCTTCGTTGCAAGGGATCTTCTGTTTGCAACACTATTATTATTGCGTATCGTTAACGACATGCGGGACATCGTCACTTGTCCGAGGATCCGCAGTTTGTTTCTTTGTCTGCCCCAGTTCTTTCTGTGCCTGCTCCACAAGTTGTTGTAGTTCCTTTGTTCCACACTGCAATATACGCTCCTATGCCTCCTGTGGACAGTCCAGGTGCCTGCAGGCAGCCACACCATCATGTTTTATGCCCTTCAGCGTTAGATATTTACGACTACCTGTAGAACAGGATGTGGTGCCGGCCTTGAGTACACTCCCGATTCCTGGGACATTCCCTACTCAGGATGCAGCCCCAAACGTTGAAGGGTGGGAACATGATCTGCCCGGCCTGCAGTTAACCCCACAAGGCGTAGACCAATGGGGGATCTGCAAATGGCTGAGCAGCATCGTTTGGATGAACCACAAATTTGTGCCCCACCACACACAGACCAAATGGGTGATCTGCAAATGACTGACAAGCAAGCAACCCAAGACATTTTGGGCTTTGCAACACCATCTGGGTGATCTGCAAATTGTTGGCCAACATCCGACACACCAGCCTGAGATCCTCACCAATCTCTGTGGTCCGACTGCAACTAATATTTGTCTTTACATTGCAAGGAAGATGAGCAATAGCGAACTTCAGCAATCAAACAGCATCATACACATAAGACCAGATAGTCGTTACCTCGAACCCAGAGCAGAATTGCATCACGAGTTTCACCAATAAGAGCACACCAAAAACTCATAATTGACAATGCTGGAATAGTCTCATCATCATCATCAACGAAGAACCAATGTTGATATCATATCTGGCGCTCGGCGCCCAGACTACAGATGGCAGATCCTATCTAGCCTACTCTACAATGCCGTTGATGACGTCAACAGCTCCCCTAAGTACGAGCAGATCTCGACCAATGCCACACGCTTCAAGCACCAGGTATGTCTCTCGTATCACTCACAACCTCGTTCCCCAATTCACAGATGCCACTTGCACCCAAGGACCACCATGCGCCCCATCTAGCATACAGCAGCGCAACTCGGCTATGGCTGCCTGCTCCTTCCAGCTCGCCCGTGAGCGCGTGAGCTTGGCAGGCGATAGCGCAGCAGCGCTTGCGCACAAAGCAGTCAGTGCCCGAATGTCCGATGCGGAGGCAGGCCCTTTACTATATGGAAGTGGCCTGCCTGCTGCTGCGCTGGGCCTTTCCCAAGAAGCTTCCGGTAGGCCTCGGTAGGCTGAGTCCCAATCCAAACGAATCAGGCCCAGGCCTACGGTGGTTACTTGTGCCCAACTGCCCTCGCCCTGTGTTTGGCCATATCCCGTATCCAGCCCAGGGCCTGCCTTTCATACATGCAAACAGGCGGCCTGGGCCTGGGTGCTCTCAACCAACTGGCACTGTGCAATTGCCTGAATTTTCCTCAGTTGCGTGGTGGTCGAATTAGGGGCCCTCAGGCCCTCGTCGAGCCTGCCTTCACTTAGGGTGGCTGACGTATTGCATGACAGGGCCAAAAAGGGGCTCATTGGGGCCTTGGCCTCGCATTCCCTCCTCCATAACTTCGATAGTCCTCT